TCATGACAATGGGAAACTTTACCCTACTATCACAGGAACAAATCTAAAACGGGTGAACATGTTGTTTGCAAAGGGGAATAAAAGAACAAGAGGTTCGAGGTTGCTGGATGTTAAGTACATAATAGTAAAGGAGAAAATTGCTCAAGGTTATACCATTTTAAGTCACATTAGCACTGAACAAATGATAGCAGATCCTCTCACCAAAGGAGTGGCAAATGCTGTTTTTCACAGGCATGTCTTAAGCATGGGCTGATGAACAGACCTCCCAGCTCGATCTCCATCCTTTCACTAGTGCAGACAACTCGAACCTCGGAGAGGAATATCACCATTCGTTTGCCTCTCAGCAGGTGAACTAGTTCGTGAGTGAACCATTTCACGGAGCAGATCGCGGCATCCAAGCTTGTTAGCAAGAGGCTTGAGTGAAACGTCCCAAATGTTTTCATATACTGCCAACCTTCTTGTTGTATGTGCCGATGAGGTGCTTAACCCTAGAAGATGGAAAGGGAGCAGCTCCGACTTGTGTCTTCTCAGTAGAAGGGACCCTTGGTTTCTTCCTCAACGGAGACACACCCTCCGCCCCCGAAATCGCAGCTTCATTTCTTGAAGACTTGACATCAGCCTTCCTTTTTGAAGGGGTTTCTGGCAGAACACTCCTCCTACCCAGCTGACAGATCATCAGAATCAGGACCATTTTGCTTCCATCTCTCAACATCCTGGGCAGGGGGTAGACCACCACCTTCCTCAAGATACTTTCTTAGTAGCCACCAATGGCCATCACCGCTCCCACCATCTTCGGCCGCCAGTCACAATGACAACCAGCCTCGTCCCACGCAACTATTCTTCATCACGAAAAAGAGAAGACGAAGAAAAAATATACGTGCTCGACTTACCTTGAGAAGCATGGCAACTCCTCTCTTTAACAAGCAGTACAAATTCTCCAAGATCTCTCTCAAACTAGAAAGTAGAGAAGTTAAGTTTCTAATGTGAAAAAGAGTCAAGAGAAGCCCTGCATTTATGTAGCTTGGGCATCCTAGGTCAAGAAGGAATCGCAAGCCCATTCCTATTGGGAACCCAACTCCAAGAACAGTCAAAAACTTCCTCCAAGCAGGAGACCAAATCCAAGAAGGAAGCCCATACACAATTGGACAACTCAACAATCAATCCACATCTCCTATATGTCACCAAGCGCCATGCAGAAGCTGGGGGCATTTCTGGGAATCGAATTTTAGCAAAAGCCTAGGTCAAATATTTCCTCCCATATTTGATTTGGGGATTCTTGCCTTGAATTGGGGATTTGATCCTCATCAAATCCCTAATTGATTTAAATCTCCTAAAATAAGGAAAAATAATTCCTTTCCCAAAAATGATTATTGTTCTCCAAACTCTAGCCCTCCAAGGCTCTATAAATATGAGGCTATGCAAGGCATGAGGTAAGCCATTCTAAACTCTCAAATTATTGCAAAAATTCCCTCCTTGCTGCCACCTCCCTTTTTCTTTCTCACACAAGGCTCCGCCACCAGGTTCTCTCCCCGTGAGAGTTCCGTACCCTTTTTAGCTATTGTTTCATTACGAATTAATCAAACTAACTTAGGCATCAAAGGGCCTTTGGGCAACACCCCTCGGATGTGGTCCTTTTACTCCAATTGGTTTTGCAGGGAGAAAGAGTTCGAGGAAGGAGAAAGGAGAGTTTATTGATTAAATATTCTAAGGGACGAAAATCACTACCATAACAACCTTGTTTGGATTGCCCATCATATCGCATCAACAAAAATATATGGTGTTGAATGGTCATGGAAACCTTCTATTGATGAATGTCATCATTAAAGTTATCATCTATTATATTATAGCCTTCACATGCGACATCATTATAAGAAGAAGAGTGAGATTGAAGGAGATTATGTGTTTGATTGGATAGAACAACTCTTCTTAAATATAAACAAGGGGGTAAGGTTGGAAAGGAGGATGAGAAGAAATCAGGTTATGATACAAAGGTTTAAGGTGTATGGTGAACAAAGATTCCCACTTAGGAAATAGATGGCAAGATGATAAAACGAGATGGCTTACATGTCTTATCATAATTAAATGAAGATAAGAAAAGATATGGAAAAATGAAAGAATCCAATAAAGTGATATAAAGAGAAATAGACAAGGGTTTAGAACATGATTGAAACAAGACAACAGGAGGGGAGCAATGATTCAAAAAATAATTGAAGAAGACAAGTGGAGATGGGCAACAGTTCATAAAATAATTGAAGGAGGATAAAGGAATCCAATGAAGTAAAAGTAAAAGTAAAAAATCAATATACCCATCCATTTCCCTATAAGTATTTACCTCCAAACCCTAATCACACCCACAAGTGAAAAAAAGATATTCATAATGACTTCATCTTCTAAAGACCCTTGAGATACACCGACAATGATGCCGGATGCAAGTGTCATTCAAACCGGAATCTTAAAGCAAAAAATATTATAAAAAACCTGCTTAGCCCCCTCCCCA